CTCAGGACAGGAAGCAGTGCTGGCTGGGTGGGTGATGGACCATGCCTATGACATAGTAAGGACTTTGGGTTCTATGTTAGTGCTGGCAAAGCTGTTAAACAGCCTTAGGTAGAGGCTGACAGAGCCAGGTGACAAAATTCAAGTAGAAATTGAGTTGGGGGAAGGGTGTTGCAGAACTCTGAGTCACTTACTGTCCAGACAATGGTAGCTGGGAAAGTGGTGTGGCAGTAGACATAGAGGAGTGGATTTGAGACATGTCCTACGGAGGCAGTGGCTGGGAAGAGTGCCCCTGTCCATCTGTGAGCACCTTTGCCCCGCAGAGCCCCCTGCTGTCAGTTTGGGAGATGACAGTCATCCTATGAGCACTTTCTTGGCGGCAAAGGAACTAACAGAGAGAGGTGACTTCTCCCTGGGTTGTTCCAGGTCGCAGAGCACACGGAGCTCTGTGTGAGCGGCTGTTTTGTGAGGAGTATGAACCACATCTGATGGCGTCGATGCCCGCTGAGCCCCACTCTGAACATTGTAAAGGGATATTTAGGATTAACGAGCCAGGCAGGGTCTGACCTGACCCCTTGCAGGCCCAATGGAGACAGCACTTCAGCAGGGACCATGCCCAAAGCCTGTGGAGGTTCCTTGGCCTTGGAGGACTCAAGCCACATCGGGGTGCTCCTGGAGGTGCACAACCTGAGAAAGGGTCAAGGGCGGGTGCTGACACTAACTCCATCCCAACCCTGATTTCAATAAAGTCACTTTGGACCATTCCCACTTGGGGGACCGAGCTGGAAGAGGTCATCTACTCCACATTGGAGTGTCTCAAAAGTCTTATAAAAAAAAAAAAAAAAAAAAAAACCTGCCCCCTCAGCCCCAGGCAGGGGAGGAGGAGGAAGCAAATGACATTTCCTGACTCCTAAGAGCCTCCTGGGTGGCTTGAGTCCTCCAAGGCCAGCGCACCCTTGGAGGCTTTAGGCACAGTTCCCTCTGAGTGCTGTACTTCAGGACTGCTATGGTGTAAAGGTCTGTTTCCCCCCAGTTCACACACTACAAGACATGAAGCGGGAGGTGAGGCTGTGGGTGGTCCCTGGGTCACCAGAGCAAAGTCTTTGTGAATGGGATGTGAGTGAGTAACATAGCCCCAGAGGAACACAACTACTTCCCAGAGAGACAGAGTGAAAGATGCCCTTCAGACCCAGGGACTCTGTCCCACAGGACCCCACACACCCGGACTTTGGGCTCCCAGCTCCAGAACCTAGAGAAGAGAATCTCTGTGCTTATGCATTACTTAGCTTGTGCTTTTTCATTACAGCATCCCAAAGACACCGAGATGCCTTTCTCTTCCCCAAGTAGCAAGTATGAGCTTAAACCACTACAAACCGAAGACCACATGCCTCTCTGAAGGGTGACAGAAGTTTCTTCTAATGAGGGAAGTATGTCAGAAGACACAGGAGGGTACCGTCCCCTTTACCCTGGGCATGGAAATGTGCTGAGCCAAGGGTCACTGTCCAGGGAAGGCTGGTAGACACACAGAAGGCCCATTCACTGTCCTCCCAGGCCAGCTATGCCCACTGCTGCAGCCTGGCTTTTAATTGTGATCCTAAAATTTTCCACTTTAACTTTTCGTCAACAGACTCTCCAACCTCAGCGCTTCTCGCATGAGGATGGGGTGAAGAAAAAAATACCTGCCTGAGCTGGGCAAGTACCACGGCAAACCCACACGCGGGGTGAGTGCCGGCGACAGTGCACAGCTAAGCCCTCTGTCAACACGCGGCCTCGCGCCAGCTCTGCACAGCCTGGCCCGCGATCAGAAAGGCTTCATCTTATTGGAAATCTCCGGGGCTCACCGAGTGAAACTTGGACATTTACTGTACACATTAACAGAACTTATTCCACTGGCGCATAATAAATCTTTATAACCACATATGGCTGAGTTATAAATATCAGCTGGGAAGAGCAATAAAAAAGCACAGTGTGCGGAAAGGTGTCTGCTTAGCTGGGAAGCACTTTCGACTTCATTAATTTAACCTGTTTGAACAGACAGTAATGTTTCAGGTGGCGGAGTCCTCACTCTGCCATGAGGCAGAGAGACCGAAACACTGAAGTCAGTGAAAGAAAAATCAGGCAGTTAGCTACTCGCTGCAATCATGTCGGGAATGGTTCTGCAGACAAAACAAAGCAAAACACAGGAAATTCCCCACAGTTACTTCTGCGCACAAGGCAGGTGGTGGGGAGCGCTGACTGCGGTTCTGGTCCTTTCCCCTAAACTAAGTGAGGAGCTGAGTTGGACTTGTATTTACGTAGGGATTTAGGAAACATATGGGCGATGTCTGATAAATACAGTGAATGTTTAAAATGTTTCTTTAAAAGATTATTACAGTAAAAAAAAGATGGGGTCCCAAAACCCTCCCCCTCGCTTCTAGTGCACCCATCCTATCGCTCCTGCTCTTTTCTGAAGCCTCTCTGCAAGTCTTGTTTTGTGGGTGTCTTTAATTGTGCTCTTGTGACTGCCTCGATGTCATGAACCAATTCAAAACATCTACTTTTCAGGTTCATTTTAACTTTGGGACAAAGCCAAAAGTCATATCCTGCCAGAGCAGGTGAACAAGGTGGCCAGGGACATAGCATCTGAGTTTCAGGTGCTGCCTTTCCACAGGACAGCACCCAGCAGCAGCATTCACCACATTTTTGATCATGCTTTATAAGCACATTCATAAAACAAGGCTTTCAGGGTATTTGGAAAGTAGGAAGAATGATGGGAGAAGTACATGTGAAATAAGGTGGAGCATTTTGAGGGAGATTATGTTTTCTACTATGATATATTTTTTAATTAAAACATTCACTGTATATTTTGATCATACCACATAAGACAGAAGAAAAAACATATGTGTGCCCTCATTTTCCCCTCAGAGCCCAGAGAACAAATGCCACTGTAGGTGTGCTGAAGCCCAACTCCCTGGGCCTGCTGTGTGGCCTGAGGGACAGGTCAGGGGCACCAGGTCCTGTTTAGGGATCTCCTTGGTCCCCTGCGTCTCCATCACCTGTGCAAGTGTGCTCACGCCTGAAAGAGGGATCCAGACAATCAGCCCCAGGGCTAGGCCTACAGCCCCATAGCAAAAGGTTTACTGCGGTCTTGAAAATATTGCTTGGAATCACAGTGATGGTTAAATTATACATTTGTTCATTGTTTTCTTTGGGCAGGAAAGTGAAGCCTGAATTCTGTATCAGCTTCTTTGTGCAATCGTTACTGTGTGTTCCTACAATATACTGAACAGCAGAGTAAACTGTCTCCTTGAGAGAAAACGGGGCAGGACATGCATTGCCTAGCCATAGAGGGGCATTGGGTTTCATCAGGGGCAGGACAGGGAACCAAGAAGGGTCGGGGAGAGGGAGAGGGAGAGAGGAAGGGGAGGATGAGAGTGGGGAGGGGAGGGTGGGGAAGGGGGAAGGAAGAAAGGAAAAAAGAGAAAATAGTTTTATTCAGAATTTTTTTGAAACTTAGCAGAAAAAATCTCAACCCCAAATACATTTTTTTTGTTTGTTTGTTTGTTTTTTTGGTCTTTTTTTCATTTTTATCGGTACCAGGGATCGAACTCACGACTGCCTGCTTACAAGGCAGGCGCTTATGCCACTGAGCTAAATCCCCAGCCCCAGTACTCTACATTTTAATCAAATTCATTACTTTTCGAAATCGCCATTCCACTTTCAGTTTTGAATGTTCTTTTACTAATGAGCCGTAAACGCGGGCACTTCTCACGTTCCATCCCGTGTTCAAGGTTACTAATGGTGCTAAGTAGCTTTCCGTGGATGGTAAAGTTTCACTCTTGGGCTCACTACCCAGCCTTCCTTCCCTGGGACTCATCTGTAATTAAGTCAAATTAGAGCTTTGGAGCTGAGAAAAAACAGAATTTGAAATATAACTTTGGAAGCCAAACCTGCACAACGGCTTTGCTACAAAAATTATATCAACCCTAAATTTGATGCATGTAGTAGATATTTCACTCTTTTCTGTGTACAATTTAAAATTTATTTATTAATTATATCAAAAAAGAATAAACTTTCAAAGAAGTTTACTTGTCTATGTGTGTGTCTAAAAATCACATTGCCTGTAAAGCAAATGAGAACTCAGAAGCATAACGTGTACACACATCATAGAAATTCAGTCTTAGCACAGCTTGGGACCTACATAAATGTTTATATGGTAAAAAACATAGAAGTCAATGGTTTTCTAAATATATAAATTACGGGAGGAATTCTAAAAATGTCAAGTGCTTTGCTTCCCTTCAATAAATAAAATATTTTCTTTGTAATTTGGGAAGCATTTGATGCTATTTGGAAACAGTATTTGCCTGAAAAGTTAAAAACTAATGAATATGTGCCCTGAGCTCTGGACAGGGAAGTGGAGGAGCCTATTCAGCCAGTGGTGAACATGTGCTGGGGGTCCCTAGCTCCTTCGGAGGGGAACAGGTGCCCTGCCTGAGCAAGAGAAATTGACTAGCAATGGCTCTGATTGCAGTGTGCATTTTGAGAAGCAGCATTTCTGTGAAAATTAAGCTGATGGCCAAATGCTGTCCCCGGAGTCTCCTGTGTTGTGGTGGTGCTGTCGCAATGGATAGTCAGGCAGCAAAGGCACTGGGGTGGGGGTGCAGCTCTGTGGTACAGAGCTTGCCCAGCGTGGGCTCATCCCAGGGACTAGAAAAAGAGAAAGAAAGAAAAGTGAGCTACCAAAGCACTGATTTAAACCATGTATTTAGGGAAAAAAAATTCCTGTGCCTAGACTTTGTGATAACCTCACACTACTGCTAAATAAGAAAAACTACTATAAGACAGTGACCGAGACAAAGCTATTAGAGGCACCTTGCTGCCTTGAGGTGTGCAGTTGTGAGCTTTGTTCCAGGGGCTTTCTGTGCTAAATCAGAAAGCACAAAGCCCTCTGCAGTTGTTCCATGTAAAATTTACAGAAATCGCAAGCATTATGAACCATAATGACTCACATTACAAATTGTACATGTGCTATATTTCTGTATATTTTGTCAAACTGTCAACAGTGGTCATTGAATTGTCAAGTTACATCATTTTTGAATTGACCTAATCACTGTTTCAATCCACAGATTTTCTTAGATGTTATCTAACACCTCAACAGATTTCAGAACTGCATGCACCCCTTTTATCTGGCAGGATTTAAAGTAGCCTTGAAGCTGTTCACAGTCAGGGTACAAGCATCCGGCAGAGAGCTGTGCAGGTAAGGCTGGGTAGGGTCTCAGGTTCTGCCTCACAACCAGGACAGGAGAGAGGGCAAGCAAGTCTCCGTGATACCTGCAGACCAGCAATTTGATTTCCAAAGAGAATTCTTCCCTCCTCTGGAATTTCCGGGGGTGGGGGAGCTATTCTGAGACAAGCTCTCAGAGCTGAAATAACATTAGGAGGTTTTTACAGGGGAGCTGAATGCACACATGTGCTAACAGGATTATCCTCCTGCATCTCAGAACTAGTGTCGTTTGCTCTCCAGAAATCTCTGCTGGCCGCTGGGATTTCAAACCCCAGCGGCCATGGCCCAGAGAAATGTTGCTTTTCCTCTGGGCTCCACACAGCCATTCTGTGCTGAGAGCTTTGGTGAGGGTTTTGCTAAATTAGCAGCCTGCTTTACTGTACCTCGGCAAATGAGGCTTGCATGCCAAAGTCAGTGCCCAGGGAATAGCTCACAGCTCTGCTCCAAGAGGACAGGGTGCTAGGGGAGCTGCACGCCTGGCTGTGCACTTCGCTGCAACCCGGCAATCAGCTCTGTGGATTTCCCTTTTTTTTTTTCCGTTTTAGAAAAATAAAACTTAAGTGTACAACCCTGGGCTCTCACGAATAACACAGAAATACCTGTTGACTGACTGATTTAGAGCAACTCTTTAACCTGTTTTCAGTGAGGTCCTCCAGACAAACTCCAGGCTGGTGAGGAGGGGCTGTGGGCACAGATGCTGAAGAGCCAGTTTTATAGACAGTCAGAGGCCAGGCTTTGGCCCCCAGCATGAGTTAATTTTTTTCCTGGATCAAATCATGTTTACATTAAGCTCGAGACTCTCTGCCTAAGTGCTCCCTGCTCCCAAGCCAGCCTCGTCGGTGCAGACGCCTTAGGCGGCCCCACAGCAAAGCCCTTGAGCTGAAGCTACACTACCCTTCCAGCGCCCACTTCTCAGGAGCCAGTTCCTTTTCAATCCATTTTCCTTCCCGGATCCAAAGCCTCCCACAGGACCAGGACAAGGCCAGTGGGTTAGGAAAGAGTAAGAAAGGCCCCTTCCTGCTACAGGAGCGCAGAGGGCACATCCTCAAAGAGATATCACCACTGGCAGCAGGGCTGCCTCATGGTGATACCCCTGGCCTCTACCGGCACAGGCGACTCAGGCACAGACCAAACACATCCTTGATGGGACTAAACTAGTGATAAGCAAGGTAGTTTCCCTTTAGTTCAAATTCAGCTGTGACGCATAATCATACAAACTGCACATTTGTCAGGGTTGCAGTTCTGGGGTGCCACGTGAGCCACACATGCATACCTCCTGTCAAGTTCAAGTCAGGGTAACATGTCTACTTCTTTGAACATCTGTCACTTCTCTGTGGTGAAGACAGTCAGAATCCTTTCTTGTAACTTTTTGAAATATATAGTACACTACCGGGATCTATAATCCTTCTACCTTACCATGACCAGATGAATACTTATATTTGTATATTAATTCATCTATTCGAGCAAGAGCAAAAAGTGGGTCCTAACCCTCACTTACAGATGCAGAGAAAAAGCAGGACAGGAGACACAGCACACAGTCCTGCCGCAGAGGGAACTCTAGAGCTACGAGGGGTGAAGACATGCAGTGTCAACCCTGGAGCCACAGCATCTGCAGAAGGGGGTCTGAGCTGGGCCATGGGGCTGTGTGTGACATGGTGGGAAGGTGGTGGGACCTGTGGAGCACCCAAGATGACTGTAAGGAGGGGGATGCTAGTCCCTACGCCCAGGGGATGGAACACCAGAAAGCTAAACAGCACCCTGCTTCTCAGACTTCACTGGCTCCCAATGGGGCCACTTGTATCGCTCTAAACAACCGACACTGGTGTTTCACTGAGCCCAATGGGGGTCATTTAAAAGCTCTGCTCTGCCCTAATGCCCCTGTGAGCCCAGCAGGATGACTTTTCTCAGGGGGCCAACTGGAGGCTTGTACACACCCACTCTATTCACAGTTCCTGGTCTTCCCTGGGAGTGAGGCCTGTGCTTTCCGTCTTGCTCCGCAGACACACGGGAAGGATTTATGAAGGGCGAGAGTGCCTAAACACTTACCTATCGGGAAAACACTTTGGCCAAGTAATCTGCTCTTCAGTCTTTTATCTCCCCAGATCAGAGCACTGGCCTTTCTCCTCCAGCTGCTGGGGTTCTAAACAGCGCTCTTTCCACTGAATCATTTAGAAGAAAACACTCAGATGCAAAGTTTTAAAACACAAATTTCTAGCTAGGCATTGGCCTCAGCTCACAGTAGAAAACAAAACATTTGTTTTGTCAACTAATGAGCAATCCCAAGCGAATAGCTTTTTTCTCAGCGGCTGTTGGCGAGCGGAGAGTGAAGTGCACAGATGCTGGAACCCCCACCAGATGTGCGGGTCGGCGGAGAAAGGCTGCTTTCGGGCCCCAGCAGAGTATCGGCCCAGATCTGCAGAGGCCGGCTGCCAATCGCACCGCTATGCAGACAGGACATAACTGATCTGCTCCCGGAAGGTTATGCTTGGAAACACCCGGCCTTGCGCTGGCTGCCAAGAGGACTCCCTGACAGGGAGCCCACCTTCTGGGACGCAGGTGCTGCCCACCCCCGAGGGCGCAGCGAGGCTCCACAGGCTGGAGGCTCCAAGTCTGGTGCTGAAAGATCCTGTCCTGGGGCCTGTCAGCTCCACACCTTCTTTCCTTCCCGTGCTGGGGCACAGTTCCATGACCACCTACCAACTCTGAGGTTTGTCAGCTACACGGAGGGCTTAAAAAAAAAAAAAGGCACGTAAGACATGAGTTAGCACAGCGCGAAAAGAAAAGTAAGTCAAAAGCTCAGGGCATGAGGAGGTATGAAAACATGTTCTGCAGGAAAAGGGATTTTGATATGCTGAGAGACAAGCGCAGAGGAAATTGAAATTCCCGTCTCTTGCCCAAGGACGACCGCAGTTTTCATTGCATTCACTGGGCACGGAATTTAGTCTCCCTCGTTTCCCTCCAGCAGTCGTCAGCACTGATCAAGTGAAACTGCAGTAGTGAGTGGCAACAAATCGTGTTTGCAAACGAAGACATCAGTGCTAAAGTTTCAGCACAGTGCTCCCCGGGCGGTTGGCCCTGGGACCCTTTCTTACCTCCGTCAGATGTGGCCCCGAGTCTCCCTGTCCTCTGTGCAGAGGAGGAGAATCCCCCACTGTCCACCTAGAAGCTTGGGCTCGGACCGAGTCTCATACACAGATGTGCATCTGGACTGATGGTCCCAGAACCAGAGAACGCGGCAGGGCCTGGCAGTGGCCCCTGTTATCACCACCCAACCTCGGCCGCACACCTCCTGCAGGACTGCACACCCACGGGAGGCGCCTCTCCCTGGCTCAGGGACACTGCCTGTGCCTGGACATTTAAAGGCAGCCTTCCAGCAGGAGCAAATGGCCTCTGGGTCACTTCTGCAGAGACAGCATGTAAGCAGCTTGTCCACACTTGCAGTCAAATAAAACAAAACACCTACTTCGTTGCAGCCGGGAAGCTGGACTATTTTAAGCTCTGTATTTACAGTAGCATGGTTTTGTTTGTTTGTTTTGCTTTTTCTAATTTGAAAAATGAGAGGACAGGTTAGACTTTGAAAAATATTTTAAAAATGTAAAAAGTAGAAATAAGAACTTGTTATAACAAAATCGGAACTTGCTTATAACTCAGCCCCTCAGATATTGACTATGATACTTTCTATATATTTACTTCTCTGCAAAGATATATGTAAAAAGCATTATCACTCTGTATATACAATTCTCAATGTGCTTCTTGTTTTTATTTCTCCTTTTTCCCTAATTATAAATGTGATTTATTTTGATGGCACAAAAATAAAACACTGAAGAAATAGAAAATATGAAAGTTGGTCCACCTCCCTCCGTGAGCATTAATGAAGACCGAGTGCACATTCTGAAAATTACTTTTCTTTGCACTTTTGTCTCAAGAGCATCAATCATCAGTAAGCATTGCTCGGAAGTGTGACGCTAATGCTGATGGCAAATCAAAGATGCAGGAGAATTAGCCAAGCCCTCCCCCATTAAGTTCTGGTAGTTAAATGTATTTGCGGGGTTTTTTCTTTTCCATTATAAAGATCGTTTTCATTTTTGGCTTCACTGCTGATGGTTTTTCTTGGAATTATCCTTCTTGCAGAAAGATTAAGGAGTCATAGGACAAGTATTTTTGATCTCTGGACATATATTCTAAGGTCTTTCACAAAATCGCAAAATCAAGCAGGTTCTGTACGGGGCATACTTACTTAATTGTAATTCTTAGCAATATGTGACCTTTGAACTTGATTGTTCCTGATGTTTCAGGTCATTCCATCTTTCTATTACTTCCTCTTGTGACTTCTGTTTAGAAAGACTTGCACTGGCATGAGAACAAAATTTCTGGTATTTTTCTGTATTGTAATTTTTTAAATTTTAGTTTTAACACTTTTCTGCTTACTCAGATAAAATTCCATGTGGAGTTTTATTTAGCAAGAACCGTGATGTAAGTCCATTTAGTTGTCTCTCTGCAAAACAGGTGAGCACCCTCCAATGCGCACTGCGTTTCTTGGTAAGCAGGGCTGCTTCCACACATACACAGTGCAGCAGAGCTCTGCTCCTGCTGTGGGTCTGGCACTGATCATGCACTGATTGTGCCTGGCTCAGCTTGATCATGCACTGATTGTGTCTGGCTCAGCTTTCTGCAGCCTAAGGCACGGGGGCACGCAAGTGGGCACTGGGATCAGACAGTGCTGTGATCAGGTCTCCACTCACTGTGTGGCTGGGGTAAGGAGCCAAGGCATCCCAGCTTTTACCAAAAGGAAGTAGCTAGGGCCCCTTCTGCAAAATGCAGTTGGTGAAGGACAGTGGACGCTGCTCCTTGCCCACAACAGGGGTGCATTTGCCACTGGCCAGCTGTGGACAGCTGTTACCATTGTTCTCAGTCCTCTGCTTCCTCTGATCTGCTAGGAGGACTTACGCACAGCAATTATCTTCTAAATCCTATTTTTGCCATTATTTTCCCAGAAAACTCTCTGATGCTTTCAAAAGAAATGTCATCAAGTTTCTGATCAGAGGTACTAAATTATTGCAATTTTTAGGGAAAAATGGACATTGTTCCACTTTCTATTGTCCTTTTTACCACATGATGTATCTTCTAGTTACTAAGATTTTGCACTCATCAAGTAAATTTTATGCTGTTTTTGTTTCACTTTTGTAGATTTATTTCTTGAATTGTTCCTATTTCTTACTTATGTGATTCACAAGTTTTCTCAATATGTTTTTGAATTATTGCTTATACTTGAAAAGTTACTGAATTTTGGTCTACTGGTTGTATATCTAGCGGTATTCCCTGATTTCAGTATTGGTTCTGAAATTTTAACTAAGTCTTGGGCTTTCTGAAAATTTAGTTAAATTTTCTGACACTCACGTCCACCCTCACAGTGCAGCCACAGCGTGCGAGGGGAGTTCAGGGTACTGGAGTCATCCTGGACTATGGGCCATTAACACATGTGCTGTTTCTGTCATATGCTCAGTGACCCGAATCCCCTGTCCCTGTGCCTCAGTTTCTCCACCTGGAAAATGATAACAGCCCTCCTGCAGCTCTCACCACCGCACCTCTGGCCAGCTCTACTTCCCTCTCCCTTTTGCTCCCTGCCTGTCCTTCGACCCATGTCTTCCTGGTCTCTGTCCCAGCATGGCCTCACTTGCAGGGCCAGTCTCTGTCTGCCTGAAGCTGCTCGCTCGGCAGCCTGTCCATGTCACAGAACTAGATCTTCCTGGTGATGATTCTGTTTAAGTCTGGGGTTGGCAGAAAGATTAGAGGTCCCTCTGTGGCCTAGCACATTTGGAACTGTGGCATTTTTCAGGACCCTTCACTCCAGGAAGTCCTAGGATAAAGAGGTCAGTCTTTGGACACTATGATTCTAGTGGACCTCACAGATCAGCTGGAAGCATTAGCAGCTGGAGGCTGTGCAGTGATAATATAGCAGATTTTAATGTTCTCCACACCAGCTGGGTGTGGGCTGTGCAACTGCATTCCCAGCACTCAGTGAGGCTGAGGCAGGAGGATCATGAGATTGAGACCGGTCTGGGCAATTTAATGACTTACCGAGACCCAGTTTTCAAATTAATTATTTTAAAGAGGCTGGGATATAGCTCAATGAAAACACCCCAGTTAAAGCTTCAGTACCACACCACACAAAAATTACTCACAAGTCTGTCTCCTCTTTTCTCCTCCACAGTAACTTCTCCTTAGAGACAAGATGCATGGCAACTGAGCTGGCTGTGGCCTGGGGATGAAGGCAGGAGTCTCGGTGTGTACATGGGGCCACGGCCACATAAGGGCAGTTAAGAACCACAAGTGAGACCAGGTGCTGTGGGACACGGGATGGGGTAGATGGGTGATGCGCTCAGGGACTCTTTCATGACCATATCAGGCTGTGGGTACATCTCTAAAACAAGCAGAGCAGACTGCTGCTTCCCAGAATGAAAAATCAGCAGATGGAAAGTGGGGATGTGAGGAAAGGAGGAATGCCACAGAAAACACTTTTCTGCACTTTTTAGCTAATTGTGAAGGTCCAAAGGAAACAATGGGAAAGAGAAGAATTTCGCTAAATATAGAAGTACATGACTTTACAGAATGATCTCCATGAAAAATAAACGCTGCCTTACTGACCACAAGGTTTTCTCCTTACCGTGCACTTAATTCAACAATGAATTACAACATGACTTGTCTGCTTTAAGTCTTTAAGGTAACAGTAGCTGTCATCACCATTACACTCTGAGTCTAATTTAGACCAACTCAGAAACAGCTTTGGGCCACCAATTTAAAGCCGCCAGAGGAATCCACCAGGACAAGACAGGTGAGGGGCTGTGAGGACTCAGGAAGACGCTGGCCTCGCTGGCCTCGCTGGCCTCAGGTAACACAAGTCAGATCCTCAAGACAGTGCCTCACTCCATGAAGATGCTGCTGAGCCTTGAAAGAAACAAAATAAAACTCCCAAGTGTTTGGAGAGGATGTGGAGAATTGAGAAGCCTCTAACTGCTGGTAGGAAGTGAGGCTTCCAGAGAAAACTTCACAGTGTGTTTCCTCAACAATTCAGCTGAAAACTACCACCCCACCCAGCAACTGCACTTCTCAGTCCACACCTAAGGGGATCTAAAGCCACCGCTCACACCTGTTTATATACACCCACGGGCACAGCTGCATCATTCATAAGGACAGAAGGTAGAGAGGTCACTACACAGGGTCCAGGAGTCTCCCCAACAAGAGGGGGGACCCCATCTTGCCAACCTCTTGACTCATCACAGAAAAGGGATTTGGGGGTGCCTCAGGCGAGGCAGAGTTAGGTTCACCGGGCAGAGTCAGAGGTGGGAGGACAAGAATGAGTCCAGTTAGCGCCCGCAGGAGCAACTCCACCTGGGGTGTCAGCCTGGCAGCTCCTGGAAGGAGCAGGCTTGCCTACAAGGATGGGCTGAGGTGGATGGGCCTTGGGTCTTGACCTCAGGCCCAGTGTCCTTGTTCCAGAGGAATCCTTGAGGCTGCAGGGACAATTGGGTTCCCATGAGACAATGGGAGAGGTAGCCTTATCAAAACCCACATGGTTATAGGTTTGGAAAATTCTGCTCATTCCTCCAGTGGATCCGGAAGTGGAGGCTGTGGAAATCTGGCAACTGGATATCCCTGCAAGGCCCAAAATCACTTCAGTTGCTCTTGGTATCCTTAGTCTTAAGGGGCAGTGACACAGTTTGGGTAAATGTAAGACTAATTCACTGGCACGGGTGACCCTGAGCAATGAACATACCCATGCAGCAAGGCTCTGACCCAGAGTTCTGAGGTCCTAAGGAAGACAGACATGGAGAAAGGGAGAGGCCGAGCTCGGTTCTGTGTCTGTCTCCCTGCAGCATCTCAGGCCCAGCCTTTAAGCCCCTACTGCATATTCCTTTGTCTGAGTCTGTGTCTCAGTCTGCAGGGATTTGATCAGGCTTTTTGTTTTCTGGTTAGGCCGCAAGCTAGTTCAGGAGCTGAGCCCCATGGTACACCCAGGGAGGACAGCGGGATGCAGGCCCCTGACTCACCATGACTATGCTTTAGGACTCCAGTGTCCTGGTCTCCTGCCTACCTATCTTTATTCCTATCTACCACAGAGCAGCCCAGGCTTCTCCTGGCAGGTGAACAATGAAATAGAATGGTGTTCATATTATTCAGCCTAAAAAAGGAAAGAGACTCTGATACGTGGGGCAGCACCGATGAACACCGAGGAAGCTGGGTTGAGCGAAAGAAGTCAGTCACAAAAGAGCAGCTAATGTATATCCCTGTTCCATGGGGCACCCGACTCGTCCACTTCAGAGACAGAAGGTAAATGGGGCTGCCAGGGCTTGGAGAGCTCTTGCAAAGCTTTGGCCCGGGAAGATGAATGCACTCTGGAATGGGTATGCAGTGCCTGCCTGACAAGGTGAGCTGAGAATTTCAAGATGGTTAAAACAGCCCATTTTATGCCATGCATATTTTCCCATACCAAAAGGAAAATCTCTGCGCTCTGACACATCCCAGCTGCCACCTGCATGGCTGACTTTCTTACAAATGTTCTGCTGTCTGTGTGTGGATCTGGAAATTACAAGCTTTCCCCTCAGTGAGAAAAATATTAAGGACGTGGCTGACAGTCTTCAAAGGGGGAATTGAGAAATGTGCTGGGGGACAAGCCCTGCAGAGTGAGTTGAGGCGAGAGACACCCTCTCGCTGCTCACAGTTGCCCTAAATGACTTGTGGGTTAACAGACTCATCCAGACCTAGCTACTTTATACACTTCTGACTGTTCTGCATGAAATTTCCAGATCATTAGTTCATATTTTGCCACTATTGTTCTGGGGCATTAGGGGCAGTAAAATGATGCCAAAATATAAACAAGGAATAAAAGGGAATTACAGAGAATTTCTGTGCACAGTAATGAGAGCTTAAAGAGAAGAATAGACTTGTTTCGTTTACTCACCTGAACTCTACACATCTTCATTCAGAAATACGCAACCGCTTTCCACCCACTGTAGAAGTTGTCAGAGCATGTCATTGGGTCTTTCTGTAAAGCAAGCAGCATTTTCACAGGCAAAATTTCCTTCTTAAAATCATCCAAATGTAGTGCTTAAATTGAGCTTGAAATCCAGTCTTTAATTTAAATATTACCCGGATGAGCAATTACAGGCATATTTCCTTCCCTGGCACAATCAGCAAGTCTTGGAGGTTGAGAGCCAGCAGGCTGTTTGGGGACATGGCCCCTGTCTTCTGGAAAGGCCGGAGGAGACTGTTTTCCCCTCTCCTTATTAAACCTTTTAAAAGATCATTTCCTTCACGGTGCGGAAAGCAGCGTAGTCATAGCAGAGTTTGGGGAGCTCGCTTTACGCGTGGAAAGCTGAAACTTGCCGGTGATTCAAAGCCAGCTCAGCCTTTGCAGAATGGTGGAAGCTGAGGCCGCTAGTGTGGCCTGGGCAAGTTCTCGGCGGGAGGAAGAAGTGAGCGGAGGAGGACTGCGCAGAAAGGTACAGAGTCAGAGCCACTGAACTCAGTGACACTGAAAACATAAATTCAGCCAAAGCAGAAAAAGAGAAGAAATCACAGACAGTATTTTCTCCTAAATGATCTTTTCTTTGATTAGAATCAACTTCTTATTTCTTGGCCCTATTATTCTTCTACTTTGAGTTTATCTCTCAAGAATTTTATGGAAATATGGATCCTTTAAAAATAACAAGGTCAGAAGGTCAGAGGAAAGTCTCTTCCCCTTTAGTTATTTATAGTTAAAGATGATACTAACTTGGATTTCTGATCTGCACTAAATTGATAATAATCGAGCTTTCCACATCAGCTGACCACGGATTGAGCTCCCGGCCCAGTCAGTGGTTGTGCTAAAGCTGCTACCTGTTTAGTTAATCCTGTAATGTCTGTAATGCAGCTACTGCTGTAAACCCAATTTTGCAAATAGGGAAACTGAGTCTCAGAGAATGTAGGTGAATTTCCCATAGTACCTATGTCTTCCATGATAGGAACAGAATTTAAATCCATGTTTGTTACACTCTGAAGCCAGTGTGTTGGCCGCTCCGTTCTGTCACCAGTCCATGTAAACAGATGCTACTGGCAACAAAGCCACAGCTGTCACTGTGAGGTGTGAAAACTGAGCCCAGCACCTCAGTCCCCTCTGATTTTACAGAGACAACATAGGGTTTTCAAAGATATTGGTGTACAAACATTATTTTTAAGGCAGTGTTTCCTAAGAACACGTAAGGCTGGATCCAAGGAGTTTGGATCTAGGGGGTCACTAGTGTATTAAATGCCCAGAGGTTGTGCAGTTAACAAGGTATTTAATATGTGAGTTAATCAACTTTTGCTTTGAAAACACTGAGGAACAAGAGTCTCAGAGACTTACAGCTGTCCAATATTTTCCACACACCATCTTACAGGCCCATTTCAGCTGGGAATGCAGGTGACATTTGTCCCTGGCACCTGTGTTGTCCTCTGGTTCCTGGGGAAAGCTCTTCTCCCATAGGTGGGAGGAGAGCAGAGGGTGACAAGGCACAGGTGTCCCTTGGTCTGCAGACCATGGTGTGTGTGGTATGTGTCGTGTTCCTCATGACCCAGGGGACAACCCGATGCCATGGCCAGGCCTAACAGCACAAAGGTGGGGAAATCTCCTGCACTGGGATGGAGATAGGAAGATGGACAGAGGAGGACAGGGAGAGGAAAGATGAGGAGGGGAGGGTAGGGAGGGGAGGGCGGGGAGAGGAGGGTGGGATTTACAGAGCCAGCACATTTATGGCAAGGGAGGGCACAACACAAACTTACCTGGCCACAGGGGACCCTTCCTTCCTCTCTCCCTTCTCTCTTCATCTTCTGCCTCCCTCCTCCTCCTCTTCCTCTTCTTCTGTTTTCTTCCTCTTCCTCCTTCTTCTCTTCCTTCTTTTCTCTTCCTTCTTCAACATTATCTGCTTGCCCCAAGTCTCTTCCTGCTTAAGGTATTACTATTCCCTGAGCATAATTTGAGATAAATTTGCTGAACTGGTATAAGAAGACCTCCCTCTTGGAGCGTTTATGCTTTAATTAATAAAACAGTAAAGCAAAGCTCAGTGTGGTGCTTTCTTCAGAGAAAGTAATAAAAATGTCAGCAGCATTGTGAATTTATAAAGGCTCCTCACTCTGAAGGGCTGTGTTGATCACATAATTAGGCCTTTTGTTCCCTTCTCCCGGCAGCCTGTGGATCAGCTGTTGCAGTCCTCGCGTTACATGCAGAAACTGGAGGCCCACAGCCTGTTTGGAAGTGTCCCCAGGCTAGAGCACAGGGCCAACAGTCTCTGTCCATCTCAGGGGCCACCAGTCATTCTGTGCCTCTGGGTTGTGATCATACAGGCCCCACTTGGTGAGGTTAAAAGCCACGAAATCTGAGCAGGTGTTAACGTGAAAATGAAGACCATTAGCTCAACTGGCTGTTTATTTTACTGCATACATCAAGCACACTTTACTCCAAACTCTTAGGACCTGAAAGATCTGAGCTTTCGATTTTGGAATGGTTGCGTGTGCATTGCGAGACACCTTGAGGACATGGCCAGCTCTAAGCAAGAAATTCATTTGTGTTTCACAAATATTCCCTTCAGGCAAGCTAGGATAGTACTGTGACTTGTCACACACACTTGGGGTAGAAGTTTGCACTAGCATCGAACCAATCAGTGCTCACAATGCTTTAGATTTTAGAGTGTTTTGGATTTGGAATGCAAAAGCTTTTGATCCAGTTGGATTTGTCCCAAAAGCAAAACTGTTGTTCAAAAACTATAGTGGGGTGCTGTTTGTTTTACACTCACCTAGGAAATACTGGTGACACTATTTTTCTTGCAAAGGCAACAGAAAAGCAGCTCTGCCATCTCTCCCATCTGCAGGCTAACAGACTCAGGCCCAGACTTCCAAACTCCAGCCCTGGGCATCTTATTCTTCCTAAGATTTTGTGCAAAAGGCATCTGGGCAGATATAATTTGTAATAAAGAATAAATCAAGAAGACAGCAGTCCTAAAGCGATACAAAAGACTCCAAACTGGCTGGTGACATTGCCAGGTTGGTGTGAGGTCCCCTGTTTACACCACCGCAGGCCTAGGACAGGCTCTCAGATGCCCTCCCTTAATCCTTTTTTTTTTATAGCCCAAGAGAGTAAATAAAGCTGGAGGTGAGGAACTTAAGGGAAATGAAGTATAAGAAAAAAAAATAGCAGCAATGGGATAGAAAAGCATAAGGAGTAAAGTCACCTTGGACCTATTTTATGTTAGACAGGACTAAAAAGAGTAAATGAAGCAGGAACTCATCATTCTTTTGCATGAGGCTTAAAACATAGTGTGGCGTGGGGGAGGCAGACGGATGGTGGATGGCATGAGTTCACATCCCACCTCACCTCTCCCTGCTGTGGGACTGTGAGCTGCTTTGCTCGCATTCTGGAGTTATCTGGACCGGAGGCACCCGCAGCTCCAGGGACCTTGCTGAGATAACTCATGGAGGTATTGTGTTACCCTGTGGCCAGCAAGCAGAAATGACACCAAGATGTTTTACGAAACTCACAGAAGATATTTTAAGACTTGTGACTAGTTGTTATTTGAAAAACAGAATTTCACATGAAAATTTAGACTTTTGGCTTTTCTTAGAAATTTGTGAGATCTGGTGTTTGGATTAGCAGTGCTGGGTAATGAACCACTATAAAAGCAGGTGGCTCAGAGAATCAGTTTTTTTAACTCACAAATCTGCAGCTTGGGCAGAGCCTGGTGCGGAAAGCTTGTGTGTTCTGGCAGACTGTGGGGCTCAGAGGGGTGGAAGATGGGTTCCTGCCAGCACTCTCACATAGGTGCAGTGGTGGGATGGCAAAGGATGCAGGCTGAGGGAATAGGGCCACTCGGAGTCTCTGCTGGGCACCTCCATGCACCCTGGGCTCACATTAAGGTGCTGGGCTGTGGTCTCAGTTATCTGGGACTCTGTTGTTAGGTGCATACACACTTATAACTGTTTTATCTTCCTGAAGGACTGAGGCTTATGATATGAAATGTGCCAAAGTCCTTCTTTGTCTCTTGTAATAATTTTTGCTTCTCCAACTGATTTATTTCCAGGGTCCTACCCTAAAGTTCACAGATCCTTTCTCCAGTGCAATTTCTTCTGCTGAGAAAAACCTGAGTAAATTTCCATTTCTTCACAGTGATCAGCAGTCCCAGTGTTTCTGTGTAGTATATTAAAGTCTTTCCTGTCTTTCTGTTGACTCTGTTCATGTATTATCCTTGTGAGCTCACTGAGTGACTTCATGAACATTCTTCTAGCTCTCTGGCCTGTAAGCCAGGCAAGCCCATTTCATTAGGTTCAGCTTTGGAATTTACCTCCTTCTCTGTACTCAGAGCTCCTTCGTCTGACTCACTTTCCCAGATTCTCTGAGTCACTGCCTGGACTCAGACCCAGCAGTAGCCCCTTTCGAGATCCTCCAGAGCCTGGCCGCCCTCTGCAGCGCCCCTATTGGTCATCCTGGCTGGGGGAACGGGGACCTGGGTCAGCTTGCTGTTCCCTAGCAGGAGCTGACCCCTGGGCTTTGGCTCTGTGTTTTTGCTGGGTGGGACAAAGGAGTCATGGCACCCCAGCCTACTCTGACAACTGGGTTCCCCGAGATTCATAAAGCATTCAGCAAAGCTGGGGCTCTGACACGTCCTACTTCTGCCCACTCAGGGTGAAACTCCAGTCTCCTGGTCATCTAGCGCCGTGTAGGACAGGCACTGTGGGGAATGAAATCTTCCCATCTGCTTCCCCTTCTTGTCTCCAGAGACACAGCAACGCTTCCGTGCACATCTGTGCTCTCAGAAGGAGCTTGGTCCTGCGAGGCAGCTGAATCTGTAGTGATGGATGATGGAAGGGTGGAGCTCCAACTCCTCCACCCTGCAAAAGTCAGTCTTTTTCAATGCTGACCTCAAATCTAGTCAGTGTGATGTTGGCACGGCTGCTCAGGGCATTGTCAGCTCGCTGTCTGCAGGATATTAGTTTCCATCACTTTATTCTCAAACTGCCAAGTCGGGTGCTCAGATCCTGCCCACAGATGAGAAAGAAACAGAGAAGTTTAGGCTCAGCATGCAGCACCATCAGAAAGCCAGTGACCTCTGTGATGTCCAGCCCGCACAGAAGCTTGTGAATCCAACAGACCAAGGGGCAAGGATCCTCCAATGTGTCAAAAATGAAACAAAGTTTCCATTTCAGGACACATTAGCTACATAGCTCATAAGAAAAGAGCACAAACCAGTGTGAGCTGCAGCCTAGTGGGGATTCGGGAACTATGTCCTCACTAAGCCACAGGAGCACAGAAACCAAGGGGGCACGGCGACCTCTGAGGTGCTGCCTCAGAGTCTAAGGCTATCTCTGCAAATGCATGGAAAGTAAGATGACTCTGGCAAAGTCGCACACAGGGCCCAGAGTGGCACTAGACATGGATAGGGGGCCTCACAGCAGCCACGATGAATTCATCTTATGGTGCTTTACCATGGGTGGTTTAAGACACACCAAGTTAAACAAGTGTGCTTAGAAGATCTTCCTTGTCAAACTATCACATCACAAAAAGAATGAGCACGCTTATGAGTAAAAGTGCACTGGACTCAGGTATTAATGAGAAATACCTTAGCAGTATTTGTGGAAACTTAACTGTGCAAACCATTGGGTAATTAGCTGTTCTAGTGATTCCATGGAAACCATCTAGCCACCCCATAAGAACTGTACATGGTGCATGGTAGCGAGGTGAGATGCAGCTCAGTGGTGAGCACTGCCCAGCACATGAGGCTCTGCCTTCCAACCCCAGCACCTTGGAAACAACAAAAAGAAGCACACATGTTAGCATTCACCACTTTGGGAAAACAGAGGAAACTATAACTGACTGAAGTTCACAGCAATAAAAAGAGGTGAATGCATTCTTTATGTTCACATCTTGAAATAATGCATATATAAACACTACAGTTAAATTTACAAAAATTTAAAAGTTAGATTTCATAATTATTAAATGTATGCATTTATTTGAGAAAATATAGCAAAATGAAAGAAATGAACACCCTATAGCTCCAACATGCAGAGGTAAAACTATTCAGCTGATTTTATTCTTTCTTTTTTAGTATTTATTTACATCACCATCACATTATCCTTTCACACCATGCAACACATTTCTCCTCAATCTTTCCTCTTGCCATGACTTTGTAGTTTTTCCCATCTGCATTTTCCAATGGGCAGAACTCACTGACTTACCCTGGGGCGTGTCTGTTGCTCTCTACTCTGAATTTCCATTTCTGGGTAGCAGAAAGCCCCTACCTTTCCTGCCAAAAGGTCGTGTCGAATATTGTTGGTCCCCTTCCTAAAGCTGGGGTGTCTCCCTCACACTGTCAAATGTTCTGGCCTGAAAATGCTACATGTCACCTCTGGATGTGACTCATGGTCAGGCAATCTCAGGGCCCCACAATTCCAAGGTGTCCAAGTGCCTCCCATGTGCCTCAAGGGTGATAAGAGCCATCAACATTTGGCCACGAGCAGCGGTGACTTGCACACAAGATCTACAAGCACCATCACACTAAGTAAACAGCATGCTACTTCAGGAATGTACCCGCATTTATCCACCTATGCTTCCTAGTGGATCATTTAGTGCTTTTTGAAGATACAAAATATGCCTGCAACATTTCATACATTAATCTCTGACTCCACCTATAGTCATCCTCTTTGGATACATATCTTAACAGAAATCACTAGATCAAAGCATAGACCCAGCATGATACTCTTAAAATATGCTACCATTTTCCAGAACATTTATACAAGTAAATGCTATTAATAGTAGTAAACTCAGTCACCCTCCACCTCTGCTTCTGACAACTTAGAAGTTCATGTGATTTTTTTTTTTTTGATACTGGGGATGGAACTCATTGCCTTGCACTTGCCAGGCAGGCATTTGTGCCACCAAATTAAATCCCCAGCCCCTTTCATGTGAAGTTGATAGCAATTTAATTACCAAGACATTTAATGTCAGTTTAAAATGCTTACCATACAGTGAGATAAAACTGAGCAAGGTATCAGTCACACAAAAAATACTATGGATAGAGAGAGATCATCTCACACTCTAGCAGTTTAA